CCCCAAAACCCCAAAACCCCAAAACCCCAGAGTGCAAGGCTTCCATTTATTTTGGCTTTGTATTTGTTTAACATAATTAATTCTAGTTTCAATAAAATAACTAATTATGATATCAAGCTCTATTGATAGTGGGAATTAAGGTGGGACTCCAAAATAATCCACAGCTGCATATGAAGAATTTATGAACTGGAAGAAAAGTCATCAAGGGCCAATCGTGTCATCAGATATTACAATCATTAAATCAGCTAAGCCTGCTGAATAAGCACCAAAATAGGCAGTTTAACCTAGAGCTTAGCCAACTTCTCAGTTCAAGTAAAACTAAGGAAAGTACTAACCTATTCCACCTCTAAGATCACAAAACGGAAACAGTATGAGTGGATTGTAGAATCCAGAAGATGAAGATTCAAAGATAAGTAAAAATTAGAAGTTCTAGGAAATTAAAAAGAAGCAGGCTGATTATTATAATAATAACAAAAAGAAGCGATAATACAATCATATTGGAGCCTAGCTTGAAGCAGTTCGTAATAGGACTATCACTGCTGAAGAATATGAAGAGGAGTAGCAAATGGAAGAACATGAGAGATAGTAGTAGGAACAAAGTGAGCAGAGAAAGAAGTAATTCTACTAGAAATGGCTAGAAAAAAAGAGTACAGATTTTGAGTAGGAAAAAATTATCTTGAGAGACCCTAAGGCAAAGTTAATTACTTTTGAAATGGTATCAATCAATAGATTCGCTGTGTCTTAAAATTTCTTCATGCCTGAGGAAATCGTATTAATTCTTAAAAAGTAAGGAGGAGCTTATGATTTTTAGCAAAGAGAATGGGTAATAAGTCTCAATAAATATAAGGAAGTTGCTATGGAAATAAGTTAGCTCTGCAGAGCCAAAATAATTGATCTTGATCCTATTCCTTAAGTTGCTTTTGATATAATGGAATACAGAATCCCTTTTACAGATGAGAGTAAGAAAAATCTGATTGGTTATGACTACAGCCAAGATTAGTTATGCAAACCCTCACTTCATCAACTGCCTCCTAGTTTATATCACAGGTTATACAATTTTTAGAAAGTGGGTGTGCAATTTGGTGTTGATCATTTTGGTAGAATTATTTTAGGAGATGAAATGGGAGTTGGCAAAACAATTCAAGCTATTTCAATTGCATATTTATTTTAGAGAGATTGGCCTGTTCTTATTATTACACCATCATCTTTGAAGTTCTCATGGAGGGATGAGCTCCTTTAATGGATAGAACATTTAAGGCCTGATCAGATCTAGGTATTTTTGAAATCTACAGAAGATTTTGATCCAAATTCTTGTATATACATTATGAGTTATGTGATTGCTACAAAATTAAGTGCTTTTATAGAAAAGAAAAGATTTAAAATAGTTATTGCTGATGAAGCTCATTACCTTAAATCAAGAGATGTAAGTATTACTTTTTAATTGTTGTTATTATTAGAGTTAAAGAAGCAAATATTTGGTGCCACTAATCATGAAAGCAAAAAGGTGTTTACTACTGTCAGGAACTCCAATTCTGGCCAGACCGAATGAGCTTTATAATTTATTGAGAATATTAAGGCCAGACATATTCTACTCATTTAAAGAATTTGGGCTCAGATATTGCAATCCAAGAGAAAGTTATTTTGGAATCGATTGGACAGGTTCAGCTAACATGAGAGAACTCCATTTAATGCTTGAGAAAGCTGTAAAATTACAATATTTTATGATCTATTTTAGCTTATGATTAGAAGATTGAAGTCTGAAGTACTTTAAGAATTACCAGCCAAAAGAAGATAAAGAATCATCGTTCCAACTGACATTCATTGTGTGAAAAAGATTAATTTTATGCTAAAAAATGTTAAAAAATGGGATGATAAAATGACTAATTAGCAAGGTGATGATGAGATTCGATAGGCAGTTGCTGATGATTTTGACTAGCTATAAGAAAATGCTAATGTAAGTTTAAGTTAATTCTCATCCACTCTAGATTCTTAATGATCCAAATCTTAGTGCACTTGATGATAAGTATGGGTATCTATTAAACGCCTATGCTATGACTGGTACCGCAAAAGTAAAAGGTGTTATAGAGTTTCTTGATAATCTAATTGAAAATAAGTGCAAGTTTATAGTTTTCGCTCATCATTATGAGGTCTTAGATTAAGTTGAAGACTATATTGTTAAGAAAAAAGTTTAGTATATTCGAATCGATGGTAGAATTGATACAGCAAAAAGATATGATGCTGTGAGAAAGTTTCAAACAAATCCCAATATTTTAGTTGGTGTTTTATCCCTTACAGCTTCCAGTTAAGGTATCACATTAACTGCTGCATCTACAGTAGTGTTTGCTGAAATGAATTGGACTCCTGGTATAATGGTCTAAGCTGAGGATAGAGCTCATCGTATAGGCTAAGTTCAATCAGTTAATGTTTACTATCTTTATGGGGAAAATACTGTTGATTCTATGATTTATCCAAGATTAAAATTGAAATCAGAGGTATTTGCAAATGTATTGGATGGAAAATAAACCGAATTCAAAATGGATGGTGAGGATGATGAAACTTAAAAGTCAACCCAAGGCCCTGAAGATGAGGAAACAAAGAAAAGAATGAATAAAGAAGCCAAATTGATTGAAAAAGCATTGAGTAATGAAGACTAGAGGAAGTTTTAGCAAACAAATATATCAGATTTCTTTTTCAGTAGTGCTGTAAACTCAACTTGTAGCAATACAGTAAATTAAAATAACAACAACTAACCCTACTAAGAATAAACTCAACAAAATTCTTAAAATGGTTCTTAAAATAATGAACAATAGACTACCAATTAGCAGTTTAATTTAGAATTTGAGTTTGATAATCCTGATATAGATTATGACAGACCTCCAACTCCTCCCTTAGCATCAGCGAATATAAATCTCATTGAGTACGAAAGAATTGATATTGAGGAGGAAAATTGGAATGAAGGATCAGATTCAAAATGGAAAGCCTACTAAACTATGAGAAAGCACAGATAAAAGATGTCACATGAAGAAAGGTAAATTAAAAAGCATCAAGCTAAGATAGGAGGAATGAATTTAAATACAGGAGATTAGTATAATGATGGGATAGATGATTTTCAAGAATAGTTAGAAAAGAAAAAATCTATGAGAGAAGCTTATAATAAGGCATGGAAAGAATATAATTATAACAATTACAAACCTTATAAACCAGGATATGGTTATAAGACTAAAGCTAGTGGAGGTAAGCCATTTTACACTAGCGGGAAGAAATTCAACAAGTCTTATTATGATCCACAAAGAGCTGAGAAATATAATGAATATCAAGAGTTTAGAAAGTAGATCGCAGAGAGTGAGGAAAATTTTTTATAAAGACTACCTTAATAGGATCCAACATAGTATGTTTAAAAATTAAGAGAAACTCAACATATGACAGGGGAATCATAATATGACACCTATAAATAAGTACCAGAGAGATATGTATTTGAAGGAATTAGATTAGAATCAGAGGTTTATCTCAATGATATTAAGGTATTAATAGAAAAAGAAAAAAATAAGAAAAAAAGAGGAAAAAAACCTCTAGTTCCAGAAGATTTAACAGTAAATCCTCGTGTTAATTCGCAAGATACCGATGGATCATGCTATTAAGAAATGATAAATAGCATAAATTAGTCTCAAGCTACGATCAGAGCTAACGAATAGTATAGTTTTATGAACAGTGGTGATTCTTAAGCAGACTAGTAGAATAGCTATCACTAGGGTAGTAATTTTTACAATCCTAATTAGATGGATGTTCATTAGAGAAATTAAATGTATTATAGCAAGATAGAGAGTAAACAAAAGAATTAATACTAATAAAAAAGATTTGAAAGATCTAACATTAACTAAAAGGAGCATAATTTTGACACAGTTGATGAAGCTGCGCTTGAGTAAATCCTCACAGATTCTAAGATAGATCAAAATATAAAGGAGAGTTAGCGAGAAATTGAAGAAATGTAGGAAAAATTAGAATAATAGTAATAATAGGAATAAGTAGCTCAGTAATAAAACAATGAATATTATAATTATGGGAATGAGCAAGAAAAAAGTTTCAAAAAGTATGAATACTAATAGAACAATAATTATAAGAAGTATAAAAATGGCTACAATAATAACTACAGTAATAGCCACTATAATAATAATGGAGGGAATTATAAAAAGAAAAATCATTGGCAAGCAAAATAATAGTAGCAACAACAATTTACATAGCTTGGAAACGATGGAGCAAGATTAGATCCCTTTACATTCTTTGAAGCTATTTAAAGCAAAAAAATTGAAGATGAATAATACAATGATTTGGGAGGACCAACAGATCTTAATTCATAAAATGGTGAGAATAACAATACATAATCACAGGCGCCCAATCAAAACTTAAATAATAATAAATGCAGCTAGCAGCAAAAATCAAGCGTGTTTCATTTCATAACAGGGAAGAAGAAAAATAATTTAAAGGCTTAATGATACCTTTTAAATAATAATTGAAGATAATGTATCATTAATGCTAATCTATACATCTTAATTTCTTAAGAAGGGGTTTTGGGGTTTTGGGG